CTCAGAAATATTAAGAAATTCAAGGTCAGTCAATCTTATACAAAGGAATAAAAGCATGCTTTAGAGTAAAAAAGCCATTCTGAAACGACTGCATGTGTCATCCTTGACTATTCATACATAATTCACTAAAAAGTGAATCTCCACACATTTCATAAAAAAAAAAAAAAAAAAACATTAACCCCAAATAGACAATAGCCCTATTTTAAAATGCAAAACTACAAACCTCATGGTAGATAATACAATGTAAGAGTAAACCTAGATGACCTTGACATAGCAATGACTTCTTAGAACACTAAAGGTAGAGCTCATGAAAAGAATCACTGATAAACTAGACTGTATTCAAATCTAACACTTCAGCTCTGTGAAAAGCAATATAAAAAAGAATGAAAAAGCAAAACATATACACACAAACATGCGCGCACACATACACACACACAAAAAAACCATGTATATACATACTTACCTGATAAAACACTATTATCCAAAAAATATATTAGGACATTTTAAAACTGAATGGGGGAAAAGTGATTTAAAATGGACTAAATACTTTATTAGATACAAATAAGACATACAAGTGGCAAATAAAGTATATGATAAAGCAGACTTTCATATTAAGGAAATACAAATGAAAACAATAAGATACAGCTCTACACATTCAGTTTCTGATCACCGTTCAAGCAGAGGATTCTGATTTGTTTATCTACCTCTAAATAAATAACCATCTATTTCTCAATTCTGAGCTAGTGTGGGATTTCTTTTAAGCGTCCTTCTTCAGTTCTGGATCTTAAAATTAAGTCATGAAAATGTACTAATAAAAACAGACTTAAGCCAGGCATGATGGTGCATGCCTATAGTATTTGAGGCCAGCCTGGTCTATAAAGCAAGTTCCAACAGCAAGGGCTGCTACACAGAAAAATCCTATCTCAAAAAAAAAAACACAGGCTTAAGACTGACATGTAATTCATACTTTATCTAGTATGTGCTTTATACAGGATATGTTTTTAGGACTTCTTTTTTTCACCAGATATGAGATTTATTACTAAATATGATTTAGTGAGGTGTAGAACTCAGTTTAGTGAAAGCCCTCATGTCCAGTCACTTGTCTAGGGAATCACAAGTAGAGATATATTTGACCCCACTTTCATCGAGAATGAGACACATCTCTATAAACACTGACCTGCACTGCTTTATTATGTGACAAACCTAGCATTGATTCTTGATGGTGGTGGTATTCTGCTTATGTTCTTTTTATTTGAGGCAGTGTCTCACTGTGTAGTCTGGGCTGGTTTCAAACTTAGAAAACTTCTTGTCTCTGTATTCCAAGTATATCATCACACTCAGCCTGATAATGGTTTTTAATTAATTTTTAAACAAAGATTTGCAAAATAGAATTCTCCAGCTATACTGGTTTCAGTGTATTCAACTGAGCATTAATATATACTCCTTTTTCTTATTTGAGCCTCTTCATGGATTGTAGGGGAAGCCCAGCCAATCACCTTGCTTGAAGGGTAGGGTCCCCTGAGGTTATTTTTTACTTATAAAGATTGCTGTTTTGCTCCCGGCGTTCCCTTCTGTTTTCCTGTTCTCCACTTGAACCTCGGTTTTGTAAGTCCTTCCCTTTTTAAAGCTGAATATTTTATTATAATTTCTGTCTGCCTTTCATTTACGCTGTTACAATGGATATTAATTACAGAAAAAACTGGATTTGCAACTATGAGCAAGTAAGCTAATCTAATGCCTTAATTTCATATCTGAAATGAGTTGCAATGGTTACTATAGGATAATGACTTAATATACATAATAAACAAATGCCTGAAACATAAATGATGAAAATGCAGTATGACTGTTAACCGTAGATGTCAATTTGATTGGATCTGAAATCAAAAAAGATATGGCTCTGGACATATAAGTGAGAAACCTTATGAAAAAGAAAAACAAAAACTGTATTCCAGCTGGGCACAGGTGCACTACTTCTAACCCAAGGATTCAGCAGGCTTCAGTAGGAGAATGAGCTCAAGACCAGACTCTGTTACTGTCCTGTTTTGTTCTTTTTTTGTCAACTTGTCACAAGTTAAAATCATTGGGGAAGAGAAAGGAATTTTAATTTGGAAAAGGTCTCCATCAGACTGTCCTATAGGCAAGTCTGTGGAGCAGTTTCTTCATTAATAATTGATATAGGACACAGCCTACTGTGGGTGATACCAACCCGAGCATATGAACTTGGATTGTAGAAAAAAGCAATCTAAACAAGTCACAAGAAGCAATCTAGTAAGTAGTAATCCTTCCTGGCCTCTACTTCAGCTCCTGACCTGACTTCCTTTCATGATGGGCTATAAACTGTAAGCAAAAATAAAAATAAACCCTTTGCTTCCCAAGTTTGGTTTTTGTTTTTTGACCACGATGTTTATAGAAAGCAATAGAGAACAAACTAGAAAAGCTACAGATTGAGTCCATGACCAGATACTTGAGACCCTATAAAAAAAAAGGGAATTTCATTAAAGGATTCATCGGAAAAGCTCATAAATAAGATGCATCAAGAGAATGCATATTTCCTCTAAAAAACAAAAATCAGTATCCGATGACTTTAGCCTCCTCACACCCAACAACCTACCTACCCCAAATTAGAAAAATAACACAAATTTTATATCAACCATACAGCCCTCACCATCAGATTTTGTACTGTTTAGTTTTTTTGTTTTATTCACTTTAGGGGGAGGTCATCTGAGAGGAGAAAACCTCAATTGAGAAAAGGCTGCCATCAAGTCTGTGGGGCACTTTCTTGGTTAACAGATGGTATGAAAGTGCCCAACCCATTGTGGGCAGTGCCACCTCTGGATGGGTGTTTATTTTAATAAACAAAAGCAAGCTGAGTGTATTAAAACACCATGACCAAGGTAACTTAAGGAGGAGTTTATTTAAGCTCTGGTTAAAGAATGTTAGAGTCTATGATAAAAGGGAAATCATGGCAGCAGGCACAGCTGGACAGTAAGCTGAGAGCCCACAATTTGAACCATAGATACGAAGCAGAGAAGCAACTGGGAGCAGGTGAGACCTTAAGCTCTCAAAGCCTGCCTCCAGTGACATAGTTCCTCAGGGAGCTACACTTCCTAAATTTCCCCCAAACCGTACCATAAAGTGGAGATCAAACGCCTGAGACTATAAGGGACATCTCATTCAAATGACCACAGATATTATTCTACTAAACACACATTCAAATGCTATTCATTAAACTAAAATTCTAATATAAAACCTTTTTAAAATTAGTGACGAATCAAACAAAAGATGTAGTGTTTCTTCATATTAATTATCAAGTTGCCAACCTACAGAAGAAAAGGTAGTAGACTCAATCCATCTGTCTAGTCTTACCTCTGCTCCAGAGCTGTATGTATAATACTTCTACCCAACCAGAATCAATCAAGTTAACTAAACTGTATTAGTTATTTTGATCTTGCTGAAATAAAACACAACGACTAAGGCAACTTTCAGAAGGAAAGGCTTTCAGTTCCAGAGGCCTACGAATCCATCATGGCAGGGAGGCATGACAGCTGCAGCAGGAAACTGAGCTCACATCCTTAACCACAAGCTTCACAGCATACAGAGAAAATTGGGAATATCGTGAAGCTCTAAACTCTCAAAGTCTGCCCTCAGCAACTTCCTCCTCCAGTAAGACCACACCTCCTAAACCTTCCCAAACAGTACTATATTACCAACCTGGAACCAAATATTCAGATATATAAGCCTATATAAGACATTTTCACTCAAACCACTACACCAACATTGAGTAAAAAACTGTTATGCTCAAAAAACAAGTGCTACATGAACTGTTATAATGAATCCAACTTCCAAAATAAAAAAAAAATTAACCAATAGGAAAAACATTGTGGTAATCAACACAGAAAAAACACTGTTCCCCTCAGTAAAGAGTGCTTCACAGTCAATTTAGTAACTTAATAGCAAATTAAAAACTGTTGTAAAACATGATTAGCAAAACAATATACACTGTGTAAGTTGAATATGGACTCAATTTTGTCAAAAATAGTTCATTCACTATACTGTTTTCACCTTCTTAAAACAAGTAATAGTAAAATATAGTAAAATTTATTTACACTCCTGATTCTACTAAAGTCTAAAGTCAGCCTATGTAACCAATGAAAATCATCACTTAAGAATAAGACTGTCATTGAGATTAGTAATCTTACCCAGGTCATAAAAGTACAGGCTGTTTCTTTATACACAATAATGCCATTAACCAACCTATATGCAAAATAACCCTTAACAATATCTCCAAATGGATTATGGAGCAGAGCAAAGTATTCACAGATGAATTAGAAAACAAGGAGAGGACTAGAGATAAGGTTCAGCAGTGAAGAGCACTGGCTGCTCTTCCAGAGGTCCTGAGTTTAATTCCCAGCACCCACATGGTGGCTCAAAATCATCTATAATAAGATCTGATGCCCTCTTTTGGTATGAAGGCATACATGTAGAGCACTCATACATAAAATATAAATAAATTAAAATAAACAAAGAAAACAAGGAGAATCACATTTCCCTGAAACATGCATACACTAGTGCAATTTTAAAGGCAATCATTTGAATTATTACCTTTTATCCTACCTTTCTTTGCAAAACTTAAAGCAAGTACTCATTTAACTTAAATGCTCATGTGACACAACTTCACTGAAGGTGGTTAGCCAGAGAGCAAACATATACTGCAATAATAAGTAGCTATTTGATGCCTTCCTTTCTTAGCATTATCACTTGGTTGTTCTAATCCATCACAACTGCCCATCATTTCTCAATTTTCAGTTTCTACCAAAGGTGTTGGGGGAAAAGGAAGGAGAAAGAGGAGATACAAATTCTATTATGCAACTAAGTTTTTAAACATTTCTACATAAGATAAAATACGACATACATTCACTAGAGTTATTTGAGATATTATTTCTTAAATTCATCCAAAGTAGATAAAGACCAAAACTCAGATTAGTAAGAAATTATCTCACCTACTACCATAAGTGTGAATTCAAATCCTCTTTTCACAGATTTTCTGTACACTTGATTTGGGAGGTTGGCAAATCCCACATAGCCCTCAAGGTTCTTCGGTTGCTGAGGAAGGTAAAAAGAACCATGTACCAATAAACATTTCAAATTCCCCCATTCTTTTCTAAAA